AGTATTAGAGGAAAATATAAAGCAATACAGGCTCACATCAACAAACAAGAAAGAACTCAAAGAAACAACCTAACTTCACATCTCAAACATCTAGAACAAGAACAACAAAAAAACCCTAAAGCCAGTAGAAGAAAGGAAAGAAAGTTTGTTCAATAAATGGTGCTGGGAAAACTGGGTCGCTACATGCAAAAGAGTGAAGCTTGACTACTACCTCACACCATGCACAAAAACCAACTCAAAATGGATGTAAGAACTAGACATAAGACCTGAAACCATAAAGTATATGGAAGGAAATACAGGTGAAAAACTACATGACATGCACCTCAAAGACATCTTTACAGACACATCGCCCAAAGCAGTGATGGTGAAGGCAAAGATAAACAGCTGGGACTACATTAAATTAGAGAGCTTTTGCACAGCAGAACAGACAGTAACCAAAACAAAGAGAAACACCACAAACTGGGAGGAAATTTTTTCACACAACACTAACGATAAAGGACTAATCACAAAAATCTACAAAGAGCTGACGAGACTCAACAAAAACAAAGAAAATAATCCAGTCAAAAAATGGGCAGAAGAGCTAAAAAGAAACTTCTTGAAAGAGGAAATACAAATGGCCAACAGGCATATGGAAAAATGTTCAACATCACTTGTCATCAGGGAAATGCAAATCAAAACTACCATGAGATACCATCTCACACCAGTGAGAATGGCACATATTAAAAAAAAAAACTAGCAACAACCAATGTTGGTAGGATGTGGAGAAAAAGGAACTCTCCTGCACTGCTGGTGGGAGTGCAAACTGGTCCAACCACTATGGAGAGCTGTGTGGAGATTCCTCGACCTACTAAAGATAGAGCTGCCATATGATCCAGCAATCACTCCTAGGTATTTACCCAAAGGACACAGAAACATTAATTCCAAAGAGCACCTGCACCCCTATGTTTATAGCAGCACTATGTACAATGGTTAAGCTTTGGAAACAACCCAAATGCCCAAAAATAGATGACTGGATCAAGAAGATGTGGTACATATACACCATGGAATATTACTCAGCATTCAAAAAAGATAAACACATGCAATTTGCAGCAACATGGATGGAGCTGGAAGGGATCATGCTCAGCGAAATAAGCCAAAAAGAAAAAGAAAAATACCGGATGGTCTCACTCATAGCAGGAATCTAGAAAACTTAAATAAGGGACCAGGAAAATGAATAACTATAAGAAAACGAAAATCAAAATCAACAAAAAACTATGAACCAGAGAGACTTTTAGGGGGGGGGGGAGGGGAGGGATTGGGTCAGAATGGGGGGGCTGCAATTGTATGGGGAATATAAAAATAAAATAAAAAAAAAGTTAAATGTTCTTTCCTAGGAAGTCAGATTCAAGAGAAACATAATTAAAAACCATGTTGATTTCATTTGAATGAATAGGGAATGTTATTAAGGAACAATTCCACCCAATAGCATAAAATGCAGATAATTTCACAGGAAACCGCAACAAAATCTCAGAGCTCACACTGGTCCAGTTTTCTTCATTTCATGGGTTTTATTCCCATAAAATGAAAAATCAACATCTTTTCAAAGCAGTTCTAACAGTGGTAAGTATGCCTAAGCAGCAATTTACACAGAAAAGCAATATTAATAGACGAATAATGTTAATTATCGATGCAAATGGTTTAATACACACGTTATAAAAGGTTTCAATAACAGATTAATAAATCAATGAGCCATCACATATATGAGTCATTTCAATGATACGAAGACTCGTAAAGATGGAGACTCAGCCCAGCTGCTTAGCAGGCTCCTCACGAAGGAGGAAGAAAGATCCAATTATCCTCCTAGGACCTTCACCTGAACCCCGAATCCAGCCCCTGTGCCGTGAGTGAAGAGGGAGCAGAGGAGAGGGCTCCAGGCCTTGGTGGAGATGTGCCCAGAGCTCTGACCATGTCCCCCAGCTGGGACAGGGACCCTCATCTCTCCCTTTCCTCCCCTCCCGGATGACACAGGGGCCCTTCATTCTGCGCATCCCACCTGCTCTCCTCCTGTGAACCAGGCTCAAGCCCTTCTGCCCTGGAGCCAGACGAGGCCATGGCTCGTCTGATATGGCTCACCTGGGCCTTGGAGACAGGAACCGCCAGGCCCTGCAAGCACTGAGCATCTTCCCAGGGCCCTTTTCTTGACCCATATCCGGTCATCTGGGCAGTAAGAGAAGGGCAAAGGACTAGGGGTGCACAGCACACGGTGCTCACAGCACTCTGCTCTCCACAGTGGGGCTGGCTGCACCAGGCCTCCTAGTCTTCTCCTCTCTGCCACAAGGTGGCTGTCCATGCAAATGGCTTAGACCCCTCTGGCATAGTTACTGGTGGTGATGCCCCAGCCCTGCAGCCACAGGGGAGGGTGGTCAAAGAAGGATTTCTGGTCAAAGAAGTTTCCTGAATCACCGCAGTCTGACATGTAGCCCTTGAAAACTGATGGGATTCCAAGGTCAGGAGAGAAGACAGGTTGTGGAAGGGCAGTTTGGCTTTTCCCACCCAGCCCAGGACCATCCCCACCCAAACCCCGCCCCGGCTACTCCTGTGCAGTAGCCAGGAGTGTGAGCATGCAGGAGTGTGAGCATGAGAGGAGCCCAGGTCATGGTGCAGTCACCCCAGGGCTGGGCTGTCCCAGACCCCACAGCACACAGCAGCCTCCAGGCTTTCATTAGCCCTCCTGCTCCTGGGGGGGGGCACGGGACCAGTGTGCAAATGTTCTCCCCCCACGACACAGCATGTGCCAACTCACAGCTTCTGGTTGGTCCACATCGGAGACGTGTGGTGGGACCCACACATGGGGTCCATGTCAGGGCTGGGGTGACATTTCAGGGCTGAGCTTTCCCAGGTCTCTGCACACAGTGCCCTCTCATGGCCATGGGGCATCCCTGATGGAAGGAGGCTCCTTGAAGTCCCTCCCCAGCCCCTCTCCCTCTGCTCCTGGGGTCTGGTGCTCTGAGTTCTCTGTTCAGGGAGAGACAGGGCCTGCAGATCCACACAGAAGCCATAAGAAGGAATTTGGGGTTCAGGGTGGAGTGTAGCACTTTTCTCCTTCGTAACGCCACTGATGCACCAGAGCGTGTCTGCTGAGTGAGAGCTGGGTCTTGGCTCTATGGCTCCTTATCCCTTCCCCAGCGTCCACCTTGACCTGCAGCCTCATCACCTGGTTGCTGCTTGAGCTCGAGCGGCCTCCAGGCTTCCCCAGTTTCTGGGTCTCTGCCCCAGACTCTGCGGCCATCCCTGTACTCTCCCTCTTTAGGATCGAAAAATGCTTCACGTTGTTAAAGTTGCTGTTCATTGGTTTATTTTGTCTTCTGTCTCATGAAAGGCACCCCTGTGTCCCCTCGTGTGAAGGCCCATGTGACTCCAGCGTCAGAGTTGCACACCTTACACACCCCACTCCTGGGTCTCTGGGCACCTGGCAGTAGGTCAGAACTGTTGCTCAGGATATTTTCTGTCTGGTCCTGATACAGCACAAGTGTCATCCATGTGGCTGGGATCTCCTGCAGAGGGAAAGTCAGCTTCCTGAACATCCTGACACTGAGGACCTCTCTGGGGGCAGAGGAGGAGCCCTGATTTCTGGAGGCACAGAGGCAACTCCCAGACTCCTCTGCCCATGACAATGTATGCTGAGAAAGAAGAGAATGGGGTGTGTGTGTGTGTGTGTGTGTGTGTGTGTGTGTCTGTGTGACCTGACGAGGCTGAGGGGCCCCTGACCCACTCTGCTCTCTCCACACCCTGAGCTGTTTGCGCCATGAAATCCTCCCAGGAAGCTGACTAGCTCCAAGGCCCTCCCTTGTCCTGGGTGCTGGAGTAAAGGACGAGAGTCTTGAAGACACTAACCTTGGAGCAGGATGTGTTGTAGGTAGTGAGGACTCATGTGAGAGGACAGCACCTCTGTTACCAGAATCAGAAGTTCATATTTTCAGGAATAAGAAAAATCTGTCCATTTTCTTACTTTTTTCCCCAAGGCACAGGACCCACAGCCGCGGGCCTTCAGATCTCAGGAAGCACTGTGGGGGGGTTGGGGGGTGTTTGAGCACACAGCCGCCTTCCTCCTGCCCCTGACCCACAACCAGGCCTGTGGTCCACCAGTATTTCCCTCTGTGTGAGGAAGAAATTTCCATCCTGGGGGAATGTTGCTGCTGTGGAGGTGCTGTCCTGAGAGGGCTTAGGAAAAGGGGATTATGGGGCTGAGACATATAATGGTGCTTCCTAAAATAGGCAGCAGCCCTTGCTCTGAGGTTCACTACAACTCCTGTGACACCAGTTAAATTAAATGGAGAAAATAGTTAAATTAGCACATTTAATATGCCCATACTCAAGGATGCATGAACAGATTATTTGCAGCAAAATTAGTACTTTCATTATCATGCTAAAGAGATTGGTTGAGAGTGGCAGGAGCAGCGAGCCAGTGAGTGGGATGATCAGGAACAGGAAGATGAGGTTTTGCTTAGAGGGTCTGGTCTCTGGGAACTCTCCTCCTGGAGACAAGACTCTTGGGGATGGAAAGACCAGCAAGAACACACTCACTTTCCTCCAAACCCTCACGTGAGAGGGAGTGAGTCCTGAAGACCACAGGAGAGGGTGAGGGCCTGACCATCGCCCATAGTATTTGTAGCCTCAGCCCAGGGGCTCACCCCTGTCCCCAGGTCTAGCCCCTTCCTGACTTCACACTGAAGGTCAGGTGCCTGTGGGGGGGGTGATTAGCTCTGGGCTGGGGTTCCTCCCTGTCAGGGGTCTCACCCCACAGCTCCTGCCTCATGACTCACCCTGGGACAATGTACAGGCAGCTCTGAGCACTGAGCTGGGGGGAGGAGGGGCTCTGCTCTGAGCGCTGGGCAGCAGCGTCCATGCTGTGGGGACGCTCCACCTGCCGTGGTCCTGGGCTCGACCAAGAAGCTCAGAAAGGCAGAGGCCTATTTAAAAGAAGAGTAAAAAAGACAAAACAAAACAAACAAAAAGCCCAGATCATTTTATTCAGAATTTTTAAACACTGAACGAGGCAAGATTTCTGTATCATCACGGCACTGTTGTTTTTGTGTTTCCTGAGAGTTCAGACACACTGAAGAGAAAACTGGCAGGACAGACACTGGGGCCTGGAAGCTCCTCTAAGTACAATGAGTGTGTTGAGGTAATTTGAAACTGGAGAGGGTCGAGGACTTGGTCCCTGAGCAGGCTGAGGTTTCTGTCCCACTTCCCCATCTGTGTGGGTCACAGGGAGAAGCACCGCTGTGCTTGATCTGACAGTAGTAGTCGGCCTCGTCCTCAGGCTGCGGCCCAGAGATGAGCAGGAGGCCTGCATTGGCGGAGGCGTCTTTGGCTCCAGAGAAGCGGCTGGGGACCCCGGGGCCCTGGTGTTTATCTGAGTCTGAGTAGTAGTACAGGAGGTACCGGAGAGGGCTCCCTGGCTTCTGCTGGTACCAGTGTATGGTATAGCTGCCAACACTGAATCCACTGCTCAGGGTGCAGGTGAGTCTGGCTGTGGCTCCAGGAGAAGCAGAGAGGGCGGGCGGCTGAGTCAGCACAGGCTGGGAGAGGGAACCTGCAGACACAGACACATCAGAATGAACTGGACAAACAAGGTGCAGCTGCTGGTGTAGTAGAAGTACAAGAAATTGATTCAGATTAGGGACACCTGGGTGTCTGAGGCCTGTCCCCACCTGTGCATTGAAAGAGGAGTAGGAGCAGCAGAGGAGTCCAGGCCATGGTGCTCACAGACCCCTGGGCCCCACGTGGGGCTGGGCTGCCCCAGGCCTCCTTTTCTCCCAACCCTGGGCCACAGGAGGGGCTGTGCATGCAAATGTGTTTCAAGCTGGGCCTGCCCAGCCCCTCCCTGAGTCCTGGTGCTGGAGCTCAGCTCACACTTCACATTGAGAAGGAAGCATATTTGCTTCTCCTCTTGAGGAAGTCCTTGGGGAAACCAATTGTACCTGGACTACCCCAGGCCAGACAGGTCACCGTGGGTGAGTCCCATCAGGAAACCCAAGCACAGCCACCAGGACCAGTCTTCTCTGAGTGAATGGCCCTCACTCTACAGTTGTGTGGAACCTTCACAATAGTCCAGCAGCCTCACCTGCTGGTCACAGGCACACACTCCTCATGGCCTGAGGCCAGCTGGGGTCTGCAGTCACCAAGTCACTGACTCTAGTCACACACCCAGCTCTGATCCCCAAGTGCTGTAGTTGCAGAATAATGTACTAATTACTGTGGGCTCTGCTTCCCAGAGTCCTGCACATGGAGCTACAAGCATGTACACTACAACTCTTTTGTTACAGTATACAAGATTATTCATCCCAAAGTGCAAAAAGTCAGGTATCACAGAGGATGGTCAATGAAGCTGTGAAGGGCATTAGAGGATGCTCAGGTAGGTAGCACAGAGTGGGGATTTCCAAGAATAAACTCCATGGGATACAGTGCATAATTCGGCAAATATATCAAATGTCATGTGTAGAGTAAGTGATTTTCAGGCTTTTCTGAATCCTCTCATGTCTGTGGTGGAAAAACACATTCCATCTTAATTGAGGAAATTAAAGGTTATTTTCATGAGTAAATGGCAATTGAACTTTTGACTCGTGCTGATGTACTTTTAAAAAATCACAATAAAATATTTTTAAGATTCAAAAAAACAAAATGTATGATGAAGGGCAGAGCTATTTACATTGTCTCAAAGTACTTCCCCATGAAATACTATTTAAATTATAAAGTGGCATTATAGAGGAGAATCTCAGCAGATACTACCTTCACTGACCAATGCTGACATCACCATTGGGTGACATACAAAAATTGTCGGTCCTATGATGGGCTGCAATACTTCTTTAATACTCTTGTTAAAATGTATTATCTGAATCTCACCATAAAGACACATAAGAATCCATACTGAGGTATGTTCTACATTACTAGAATTTACTCTTTAAAGATTTAAGGCCAAGAAAGTCAAGGGAAGACTGAAGAACTGTTCCCAGTTGAAGGAGACTAAGAGACATGACAACTAAAGGCAATTTATGGATATGGACAGGGTGTTTTTGTTTTTGCTATGAAAGATACTATGGATGAACAAAACTTGAAATGAATATGAGGATTAAATAACAGAATTACTAGTGTTAATTTTCTTATAGGAAAGGCTACATGTAGTTATACAGAATGAACTGAGTTGTAGGAAATATACACTAAATGATTGGGGAGATAACATGTTAGCAATTTACTCTCAAATGGTTCAGGGTCAAAAAAATATTTTTCTACAACAACTTGGAACTTTAATTTTAAGACTGTTTCCAAAAAAGTAAACCTAAAGTAAAAAATAACAAGAACATGAGAAAAGCAAATTCTACTTTACCATGAGGGAAGATCTAGGAATCCATGTTTACATTACAACTATATATAATAAGTTTGATGGCATAACAACTGTAAAACATCCACATCCTGACAATAGTCACAGCAGCTGGGTGTCAAAATTATGTTATAAACATTCAAAATATAAAAACACTACTAAGAGATGAATCACAGCTGAGTTGTTTGAGTGCTGTTGGAACAGTTGGTATTTGGGCAATTTGTTATGTGTAAAACTCATAGTGCTAATTTTCATTCACTAAATCAACTTAGAGTTTAGTTAGATGCCAAGAAACAAAATGTAAAGTACTATCTAAACTTAAATGAGAATGATATAAAAATATTGTCCTCTAATAAAAATTTACACAAGTATAGGAAACAATTAAAATGTAATGTAAATAGCCCAGTAAGTCAAGTTGTATTATTTTATCATTCAGGTCATGTACTTTTTCTTCAAAATCTCTACATTTTGTTGGGATGCTTCAAAAGTGCATCTTGATTTCATGGATGCATCTGTAAATTCCTACAGAAGCTCAATATGATCCAGATTCAACTTCAGCAGCAGCCAGGAAAAAAACGAAGAATTACATTCTTTATCGAAAATACTTTGTCAGGGCTTCCCTGGTTGGCACAAGGAGTTAAGACGCAACCTATGAAGCTATCCGCAGCTACTGCAGCACGAGTTTGAATCCCGGCCAGGGAGCTACCCACATGGCACAGCAGACCTCTCCTGACTCGTCCGCTGCTCCCCTCAGCAGTGTGTTTCAGTCAAACTTCCTGTTGCCTGTTCTGTTCCCCACTCTCTCTCTGGTGAATCCTCCTACTACCCAAACCTCTGGCCTGTACCCCAGTTCGTGAATGCATAAATAAATCTTAAAAAAAAAAAAAAAAAAAAACTTTGTCGATGACTAAGATAATCTGGTAAAAAGAAAAAAAAAAAGTGGAGCCCTTCATCAGTATTCAAATGAAACATTATTTATGTGCCACTACATTCCAAAATGAAAGACAGCAAATACAATTTGTCTATTGCACATTGAATCAATGGTTATTGTGGCTAAGTATCAGAGCTTCCGATTTTCTCATTTCTCATTTATTCAGCAAGCATGTGCTAAGGTACTGTGACAACCACTGGAATGACAATACAGAGATGGCACGGTCCGCTCCTCAATGATCATGTATGCAGCATGACAGGTATGAACAGGGTGCTACTGGAACACAAAAGGAACTTCATGGTTTTGTGTCACTATTTGCCAGCTTTTTGGTGGAGGTGATATTTAAACTGATACTTGAAGGGCAAGGGAAGGATATGCCAGACAGAGAAGAGATGCGGAGCCAAAGAGCTGCAGAGAAGGTAATGCACTGTGGCTTTATACATAGTCTCGGTCGGTCAGATGCTAAAGTAAAGGGGCAGCAAAGGAAGTAGTGGGAGCTAAGGATATGTAAGTTGGCAGGATCCAAATTTATTTGGCTGCTTTTATTCCATGCTGAGGATGCTGGAACTTCCCCTGGGGGCAAAAGATAAACCCATGACAAACTAAATGAGTGTAGATTTAAATGTCACCTATCAAGTGACAGCTATTGCTGGACCGAGGACTAGTCGATGAGTAGAGGTTTTTGTTTTGTTTTGGACCTTATTACTAGAAACACAAGAAGCTGATGAAGCCCATCTTTTCTGAGAAAAGTTTCTGTGGCAGGTTGCTATTTCCACAGGGACAAAAGAAGTGAAGGAAGGGTGGAGCCAGAAATAAATAGAGCTAAAGCAATCCTGACGAAAGAAGAAACATGGAGGCACGTTACCTGATTTTAAACACTATGATTTAGTAATTAACACAATAGTGTATAGGAATAAAAGCAGACACAAAGCTATGGAACGGAATCAGAGGCGTGGCAATCCAGCTACACATATATCAATTCCCAATTTATGACAAAAACACCACAACCATGCAATGGGGAAAAGGACATCTCTTTAACAAGTGGGGCAGGAAAATCAGACAGACACGTGGGGAAGAAAGACCTTAGACCCACTCTCTAACTCCAAGTACAATGATAAGTTCATAAAGGATGAGCAATAAAATAATATAGAGGTGAGCATTGTTGATAGGTTTCAAGGCATCACTAACATAGATGTCTTTGGAGACTAAACCCTTAAGGCAAGGGAAATAAAAACCAAATAAACAGATGAGATGACATCAAATTAAAAACCTTTCACATAGCAAAAGAACATATTAGTAGAGGAAAAAGACATCCCACAGAATGGATAAAATATCCACACAGCATGCAACTGACAAGGGATTGATATTCAGGTATACAAAGAACTCTTCCAAAGCCACTCTTAGACAACTTTTTTGAGGCATTTGAAGTCATTATGGAGACATGTCTTTCTGTATCTTGATAGAGTAGTGATTTTTGATCTCTCTTACTAAGACTAGCATAATTGGGCAAACCAGTGCCCCACAAGAGGACCATGGACTTGAGCCACAACATTAAACTTAAAATAAACTGCTTTTTCACTTATCTAAAAATATTAAAAACAACTTTTTTCCCCAAAACAGGCAAAGGAAGAAATTTCCTCAAAAATCTTCTCTAACATTGCTTCTGCATATATACTCCACCTTATAAAATGATACATTATCTGGTTTTTTTTTTAATTTTCATGAGAAAAAGAAGATTTAACAATTTAAAGCCATATTTGACTTTCATTTTCTTTCTACATCAAATAATACAATTTCACAACTTTGAAGTTTAACACCCATTTGGCTAGAAAGCTGTCTAAGAATTCTTAGCTTTACTGTTCCATGATTTATTATGACAAGAACCCAAATGCAAAAAATCATGTGAGACTTCTTTTAAAATGAGCCGTTGTTGCTTTTACGTGCATTAAGAAGAACATGAAAACACCATCAAAACCATAAATTAATGTGCATTGATTGAAGTAGAAATTTTAATAACAATGAGAGCCAATAAAACTAGCTGGTATTAAAAGATACTTTTACCTTGTTCTCTTAGTGGTCATTCAGTGATTGCAAGTTATAGAAACATAAGTTAACTGGATTTTAAACATTTAAATATTTGTTTGTTTGGACTCTTTGGAAAGTGGTCCATATTTTATAAAAAGAGATAAAAATGTTAAAAGATAAAATTGTAGTTAAGGATACTCTTATGTAAGACAGTGACAATAGAAATTAATTTTTAGTAATTAATTTATGCTTAATTCATAAAGAGGAGTTACTGTAAATGATAAACATCCGTTTGGATGTCAGTCATAAACTTAGCACATGGTGGAAAAATGAGGCAGGTAATGTACAGAGAAACTTTAAAATTCTTATGAACCACGGTCAAACTGAAATCAATCATAAAGTAAGCCAAAGTATCTCAAAGTATACTTCTGGTTATCAAGCAATAATATTTAATTTCTAAAATATGATTAAACCCAGATTTTCAAGAAATTTTAAATGTGTTGATTTAGTTACATCTAATTCAATAACATCAGTGATTCTGAAAATGCAAGAGCCAGGCACTTACAATTTTAAATTTTCTGTCTACTTTATTAGGACAAGTAACTGACATTTACTTAGCGTGTATAAATAAGTTAGTTGAACGACTAAGAATTTTGTCAAAGTATAAATGAATATTGCACCAGAAATTTGAAACCCAAGGTGATATAAAATTTGTCAAAAAGTAATATAGGGCCTCCCTGGTGGCACAGAGGTTGAGCCCTGGGCTACGAAGCTGCCCACAGCCTCTGCAGCACTGGTTTGATCCCTGGCTGCCAGCGAGGGTCCCATATGTCGCGACAGACCTCTCCTGTCGCACCTGCTGTTCCCCTCAGCAGTGTATTTCGTCAGTCTGCCTGTTCTGTTCCCTGCTCTGGCTTTGGTGAATTCTCTCACCCTCCCATGCTTCTGACTCTACTCAGTGCTTGTATAAATAAATAAATAAATCTTAAAAAAAAAAAGGTAATATAACTAACCTTGTCATAGTTAAGTGTCTATGCTTTCATTTTAAGGCCATGGGTTGAAGGTAGGAAAAGTTGTTGAATTCTGCCTTGTCCTAAGATAACTATCAAGCATGAAATGATTATTAGGACTATTGAGTGGACTTGTTGCAGAAGATAGCGGTAGGCATGGCCTCAGAGGAGGAGCGTTGAATACATGTTCGGGATGTGTTTCCTCCACAAGACGTTCGGTATTGACTTCTCTTAGCTGCTCAATGGTCCTGCGAAGATTGCCAAACCCAAATCCTTAATATTTCATTTTGGCCTAAATAATTTGCACTTTAAAAACAAATGTTGCCATAACATGAATTTCCCATAAAACAATGTTTTAACACTCAAAATGTGTTGGCGCATACCTACTGTTTATAATTAGGGGTTTAAAATTGTGGTAAAGAAGCCCATGTTTCTGGGAAGGTTCCTAATAAGTAATTCAAAGCAGGGAGGGTGGGCAGTGATGGAGGCGGCTTCAGGGATAATGTCAAGCATTTCCTTTCACTATCCTTACACATTTCACTCAGTACCTCTGACAGTTAAACCTTTGGCACTGAAGATTAACTTAGAACAACAACTTCTAGGGGAGAACAGGAGAGTTGCCTGGTGGGTGACTAAAGAGAACTAAACAGCTCCAGGGAAAAGAAAGCCCCTAATACTCTTACAAATGCACTGGGGTTGAGATCTACCCATGTGGGCTTCCACACACCTCCTCAAGCAGAAGCAGAACCCAATATTTATTCGTAGTCAGTCTGCGAATGATACTACCCTTCACCTCCTGCAGCTTTCCTCATTTCACTTGTAGGCCTTTCTGGAGAGCAGAAAATCTAAAACTGTGAAGGATAGTTTGTTTCAGGGTGCCCTCCAGCGATTGTGTCAAAGACCATGTGAAGAAAATTAATTCACCAGTAGCCAAACTGTGCTAAGTGTAGTGATACTTGAAGACCACTTGAATTGAAATTGTAATCTTCAAAAAAATAAACTCATTAATATTTCTACTGGGAGAATTATGACAAGCAATTTTTATAACAATAACACTAAGTTATAAAGTTTCAAATATTCTTATCTAAAAATCTAGTAATCAGGTTAACTAGATGAAATTATTTAGGGCTAAAAATTAAGTCATGTAAAATCAACAAAAGAGAGGAGATTCAGGGCCTCCCCGGTGGTGCAGCAGTTGAGCACTGGGTTGCGAAGCTGCCCGCTGGTTCAATCCCTAGCTGCTGAGCGAGGGTCCCACATGGTGCGCAGACCACTTCTGCCGCCCACTGCTCCCCTCAGCAGTGTACTTCATCAGTCTGCCTGCTCTGCTCTCCCCTCTGGCTCTGGTGAATTCTCTCACACTCCCGCTTCTGACTGTACCCAGTGCTTGTATCAATCAATCAATCAATCAATCAATCTTTAAAAAAAAAAAAAAAAAAAGAGAGGAGATTCAAACTGTCCTGGAATAACATTTTAAAGATATATTCACTGGGCCTCCCTGGTGGAGCAAGAGGTTGGGCATCGCACTGTGAAGCAACCCACAGCCTCTGAGGCATGAGTTTGATCCCGGCTGGCCAGGGAGAAACCCACATGGCACAGCAGACCTCTCCTGACTAGCCCCCTGCTCCCCTCAGCAGTGTATTTCAATTGTTCTGCCTGTTCTGTACCCCACTCTGTCTCTGGTGGACTCTCTCACCCCCCATATTGCTGTCCTGTGCCCCAACTCTTGTATGCATAAATAAAAAATGAATCTTAAAAAAATATATATTCCCTTATTAACATTATTTCCTAAATAATGACTTGTTACTAATTACATGAACCTGGATCTATAACCATTATGTTTTAGAGGTAAATAAATGAACTAAGTTTATTTTCTATGATTCCTGTTTTTTCAGCTTACGTGTTTACGTTATTTTGCAATGATTGTCTCATCTTTGATTCTTCTAGGTAGAGTTGCATGTATTTCCCGATTTTATTCTCTGTGACTCTAAATCAGTTTGCAGTCTGCAATTTTCAGTTTCCAAATTTTTATATCTGACTTCCATTTGACTTATTGAAGTAGTCTGAGTACCTCTGAACAGTTTCAAATTGTCTTGAGGTGTTACTTGTGCCTATAGAAAATTAAAATAATGTTAATGCTTATAATCTGGATAATTGAACAGGTATCTTTCTGAGGCAGTGATTCAGAGAGCAATTTCAACCATGAAGGGTCTCCCTGGTGGCCTAGGGGTTAAGTCTCAGTGCTATCACTGTGACCTGAGTTCGATCCCTGGCCAGGAAGATAACCCACACGTGCCCCAACATGCCTCTCCTGTCTCACCTGCTGTTTCCCTTAGCAATGTATGTCAGTAAATCCACCTGTTCTGCTCCCAACTCTGTGTCTGATGAATGTCCTTTAAACAAACACCCCCTCCCCCGCCCCGTCCAACTGCACCTCTGGCCTACACTCCAGTTCTTCTAAGCAAAAATAAATTTAAAAATTTAAAATTTAAAAAAAAAAATTCAAATGTGAGAAAGTTAGTTTAAAACTATCAATATCAACTAAATTTATTGTGAATTATAAAATAAAATTGAATCATTCCAATGCTGTACTCATGTAATCTGATAGTCCAAAGAATAAGAAAATCCATTTAAAAGTAGGTAATTGAACAATATAAATTAAGAATAGTTTAAGAGCATGGTACTACTTTTAAATCATGCTATTTTCTCACAGCTACCTAAATAATATATTTCTGTTCCTGATTTTATATCAATCAATATCACATTATTATGTTAATAATATATAATGCTAACATGTGTGCTTTGAAAAATATCATCCATTGACCTTCTTTATCATACAACTTCTGGTTTACTGAATTCAGCTGAAGAAAGAGAAGTTGTTATCCTCTTGCCTAAACTGCTATGTAGCTTAGACAACAGATTCAACCCCTTAACTATTCTTCCCTGACCAATTTGCAAAACTTGACAATCCCCTGAAAGTCTCAAAGGGAAGTGGAGATGGAGGAGAGACTAGTGGTGGCAAATTCCACACTGGGGAACATTTTCCCTCTCTGTATTAGATCCTTACATTAACTTCAATTCTCGGCTCAAATCCTTCTGTCTCAGAATAAAAGTGAAGTCATTCCAATGGCCTTCAAGACCCTAAGGACTCTGCCTCCACCTACCTTCCTGACCTCAACCCTTACAAATTTTCCCTCCTCAATCCCTGCCCGCTACACATGCATCCTGCCACCCCTCATTTGTCCGAAAATGGGGGTCTAAGGCCAAAGTAACACATCACAGAGATACCCAATTCTGTTAGTGTTGGGTAATCTAGGTCCAAATGATAATAATTGAGCCTTGAAATGAGAATTGTGAGAAAATTATTTATAAAAATGTTCAAAGTATAAATCACAGTAAGAAGATTAAATCAGAATTTTGCTGAAACCACATTTGTCTCAAATTATAATTTCATGAAAAATAGATGCCTTTAAAGTGCTGAGCAGGTCTTTAGAACACATAATTGGAGACCAAAATATTTTCAAATTCAATTCAAACTGACATGAGTAAAAATAAAGCTACATCTACTGTTATCTAAAATAACTAAAAAAAAAAAAAAAAAAATTAGTAAAGTCTCCTGAAAGAAAAGTTCTATGAGATGCAGTCTTTACATTTCAGTTCATCTGTAAAATGTGGAGTTGACTGTCAAGGTAATACACTTACTTGACTATTAAATCCAAAATATTCATTTTAGGTATGAGCACTTTTACCTAGCTGCCTCATCATAGAACAAAATTGGGGTTATAAAGATTCATATTTTTATTTTAGCAGTATGACTAAGTTATTAATATCAGTCTGTACCTATTGATAACTTATTATTTGCCCTTTTAAAATTTCATAGGTGGGCCTCCCCGGTGGCGCAGCGGTTGAGCGCTGGGTTGTGAAGCTGTCCCCGGCCTCTGCAGCGCCGGTTCGATCCCTGGCTGCTCCCGGCCATCAGAGGAGGGTCCCACATGGCGCGCAGACCTCTCCTGCCACCCGCTGCTCCCCTCAGCAGTGTACTTCGGTCCTTCTGCCTGCTCTGCTCCCGCTCTGGCTCTGGTGAATTCTCTCACCCTCCCGCGCTTCTGACTGTACCCAGTGCATGTATAAACAAAACAAACAAATAAATAAAACATGCCTCTATAAAAAAAAAAAAAAGTAAATAAAATAAAATAAAATTTCATAGGTGACTCTACATCTTTACATAGTGTAATGCACCTCTCAGGCCTAATTTTTATTTACTGGACACAATAGATGGTTCTAAGCTGACAAAGCAAATATGATTAGAGTCTATATATTTCTCACATTCACTAGATTCAATCTTTAGCCCTAACCAATTATTACTTTGAGTTTTCCTTCAGGAAGCTTGAAAAATAACTTTCTGGAGAGAATACTTACTTCTCTTGCTGCTTTCTTCTTTTCATACTTATATATTCTTTTTTTTAAAAGATTACATTCATCAATTAACTTGTCATTTGTTTCTTTTTGTTTCTCATTTTCAGTTCGAAGCCTTCTTATAGTGTCCTGAAACTGGCCTCGCATATTCATTACTGTCTCCTCTTCATTGTCAGCTTTGTTGCGAGCCTCATTCAGTTGCTGTTGAAGCAACATGTTTTCCTCTGTAGTTGAGATAATGTCTCCTCTAAACGCAGCTTCTCCTCTCTTGTCTCTTGGAAATGACGTTCTAGGTCTCTCTCGGACTTGTGACTCTGACCAAGATCTTGTACAGCAGCATCCAGTCTACCATGGCAGGATTCAACTTCTGTTTTCAGTGTTTCTGATTTTTGTTTTTCATGTTCCAGTTGAGTGCTTAGCGAGTTATTTTCACTCTTTAGAACAATAAGTTGTTCACAATGTTGGGATATTGTTTTTGCAAGTCTTTCCTCACTCTGTTGTATGTTTTTTCGCAGAAAATCATTCATTTCTTTTATAATTTCAACGGTCTTTTCTTTTCCTGGTTTTGATTTTTCATTGTATTTATTTCCAGTTTTAGCATACTGATTTCGTCCTGCAAAGTGTGGCTTTTATGTACTGGATCTTTCTCTCTTTCATTACTCTCAGAAGCCTAAGTAAAATATAGATTTTGTTAGCAGTCAACGAAATTACAATTTCTCTGAAATTAAAAAGCAAATGATATGCTTATAAATGTAAAGATGGCAATCAATAGAGGCTATCCAACAAAAAATCAGTTGGACATCAAAATTTACATTAGCAAAACTGCTTCAACGTTCAGGAATTTAACTGAAGACTGAGTCCATGACAATAAAAAGGAAACATGAGAAAACTAAGAATCTCAGAATTGGAAAGAGACTGGCTATGAATTACAACAAATGCAGAAGGCATAAAAGATTAGTGTATATCTTTGGACTGATTAAATTTCCTGAAAGTTTTCTTCTCCCCTGAGATTCCAATTACATTGTACTTTTTCAGCATTTTTAAGGTCAGTTATAAGGATTCAATCTATTGTTAACTGGTAAATCCAGGCATGATAGTATGCCTGAAGTTCTAAGCTACACATATGAATGGACTCATTTAGATGTCAATTCAGGAAGGGAGAAGTTAAAAATAGAAGCAAACCACAGGATTTCCCCAGGTCTTCTGACTCTACTAGTGCTAGTGTACCATCCCGCATCAGCTTCCTTGGAGTAAATATTTTGATACAAAGGAAGTCTTCTGTTTCAAAGCACTAAAGTTAAATAAGGTGAAATTTATATGCTCTCTTTAAAAATCATGAGATTATTCCCTGGTGCAATTAGTTTTATTTCTTCTTCAAAATGTTTAAAATAGTAATAAATGTGAAATAGAAAACCACTGCAGAATTTGTGGTAATAAAATAATTATTGATAAATTGTCACTAAGTATATATTATGGCATATCATTTCTAAAACTCCTTATATGGACATAGTTGCTATTTAAGAGGAAAAAAAAGTTACTTTTCTCAAAAGTAGAAAAGTTACATCCAAAGTATTGTCTCTCGAATTAGTGCCTATCCTTCACAAACTCTTCCAAAAAATTGAGAAGGAAGGGACAATACCAAATACGTTCTATGAAGCCAACATTACACTAATACCAAAACCGAACAAGGACAACACTAAAAAGGAAAACTACAGGCCAATCTCCCTAATGAACACTGATGCAAAAATCCTCAATAAAATTTAGCCATCAGAATCCAACAATGTATCCATAAGATAATTCACCACGACCAAGTAGGATTCATTCCAGGGGCACAAGGATGGTTTAACATCCGAAAATTAATCAACGTTATCCAACACATCAACAAAAAGAAATATAAAAACCATATGATAATATCAATAGATGCTGAGAAAGCTTTCAACAAAGTGCAACACCCATTCATGATAAAATCCCTTGAAATTCTTGGGATACAAGGAACATACCTCAACATCATAAAGCCATCTATGACAAGCCAACAGCCAGCATCATTCTCAATGGTGAAAAGCTGAAAGCAATTCCATTAAGATCTGGAACAAGACAAGGATGTCCACTCTCACCACTGCTTTTCAATATAATACTGGAAGTCCTAGCCAGGGCAATAAGACAAGAGAAAGACATCCAAGGAATCCAAATAGGAAAAGAAGAAGTCAAACTATCACTATTTGCAGACGATATGATATTATACATAGAGAACCCCAAAAACTCCACAGAAAAGCTAATTCAACTCATCAATCAGTTCAGTAAAGTGGCAGGATACAAAATCAACATGCAAAAGTCAGTAGCCTTCCTATACACAAACAATAAATCTGAAGAAGAAGAAATAAAAAAAACCATCCCTTTTGTTATTGAAACAAAAAAAATCAAATATTTGGGAATAAATCTAACAAAAGAGATAAAGGACCTATACAAAGAAAACTATAAAACACTGTTAAAAGAAATAGAAGAAGACACAAAGAAATGGAGAGACATCCCCTGCTCGTGGATT